CCATTAACTTTCTTTATAGATGGTACTTCAGTGCCCTACAGACACCACCTATATGTCTGTGACCTTTCTTTCTTTTTTCTTTTTTTAGATTTTATTTATTTATTTTAGAGAGAGTGAGAGAATGCGCATGGGCACACATGAGTGGTGGGGGGCAGAAGGAGAGGGAGAAGCAGAATTCCTGGTGAGCAGGGAGCCTGACTCAGGGCTCAATCCCGGGACCTGAGATCATGACCTGAGCCAAAAGCAGACACTTAACCAAGTGAGCCCCCCAGGCGCACCTTCTCTGTGACCTTTTCATATGTAGTTGAAAACAACTATCTGGGGAAGGATTAAAGAAATCTCTTTCACTTGTTAAATTCATCTCAAGAAATGCACAGGGTCTTCATTTAATCTTAAAGCTGAGATAATTCAATCATTCATTTAAGGTTTAGTCTCCCAATTGTAATCTCCTCCAAAAATTAAGGACTGGAGAAATACCTGCTTGTTAAGTAAGCTGAATTTTATTCTGAGCACTGAAAAGATTAACATATCTAATGATGAACAAACCATTTGATTAGGATCTTTATTAATTTCACTAGAATTCAATTTGTAATATTGAAAATGACATGTATAAAGGAACTGAATTATGAATAAATCAATATAAAAATCATTAAGCTTACACAGCTTGTCCGGTTGGAAGAGTCAGGTTGGAAACAAAGTCTGCCTGATTCTAGAGGCCCGGTTCTGAACCACTGGCCCATGTACCAGAGATTGCTATGTGTGTGTGTGTGTGTGTGTGTGTGTGTGTGTGTGTGTTTGTCTAATTGGCCAAGTGCTCTTTGGCATAGTAATGAGATGCCATTCATTGTTCTCCACCCCTACCCGCCGCGTTTTATTCCCTCCAGTTTTCCTTGGAGTGTTACGGTACTCGTGAGACAATCTAAATGAAGGATTCTGCCCCACGAGGCTTCCATGGGGCCTGGTCTGGGTGACTGCCCCATACCTGCCTTGCTTCTCACTCCTTTTTTCCTATGGATTCCAGACCCATCTTTCATATCAGAATGTGGCCCATGCTTTCGGAAAGCCATCGGACCAACCACCAGCGTGGTCTGATGTCAAACTCCTAGACTCAGGAAGCAGAGCACTGCTCAGCTTGAATCTTGGCTCTACAACCACTTACTAGCTGTTCTCCTGAGCTTGTTGGTTAACCTTGGCAGTGCAGGATCCTCATCTGAAGACTGAAGTAAGAGCACCCACACTGGAGGGTTGCTGGGAAGATGAAACGAGTTTCAGCAGATCAAATATTTAGAACAATGTAAGGGCCCTAAAGTGCCAGAAACTACTATTCCTTTTTTGTTTTTTTTTAAGATTTAATTTATTTATTTGACAGACAGAGATCACAAGTAGGCAGAGAGGCAGGCAGAGAGAGAGGGAGGAAGCAGGTTCCCTGCTGAGCAGAAAGAGCCTGAGGCAGGGCTCAATCCCAGGCAAAGGCTTTAACCCACTGAGCCACCCAGGTGCCCCAGAAACTACTATTCTTCAATTTCAGCTTCTTGCTCAACTCTCTGGCTCTCCATCTGCTAGGAGGCCCCTTCAATTTTTAGAGGACTGCTCCTCACCCAGCTCTAGCTCTAAGGGAAGCCACTCTACAGTCTATCTTCCTCCAGAGGCAGTAAATCTAGACACCACAGGTATAGTTAGTAAATCAGCTCTTGCGTGTAACAGCTAGCGCAAACTGACAAGCGCTCCCATAACTTAACTGCTATCTTAAAAATTGGCCCTGACTTTTGAGGAACTGTATTCATTCATCCAACAAATATTTAGTGGGTCCCTCCCTACCATGTCCCAGGTGCTGCTAGAGCTACATCATGGAACAAAACAGAAAATAACAAAAGCAAGGAAACCTAACTATAAGTCAGCATTTTAAGGGCAAAATACAAATCAACAATTATTTCTTGAGTGACCTAATATAACTGCTGTTTCAAGATATAATTTGAGCGGCCCCAATAAACAATGAATTATGCTGCTGTTTAAGAGTCATTTGGATGCGAGTTCAGTTGTGGGTGACAGATAAGAATGCCCCAGTTATGTAATTTGGGCTGGAGGCTGGTTATCATTCAGTTTAAGCATCTATTCCCACTGACAGGATGTGAGGAACAACTGAATTGAGAAAATGCAAATCTGTTGTGCAGATCTGGATAAGAGGAGCTCCGCTTGGGTCTGACAAATGTTTCTGCAACTTTCAAGCCTTCAAAAAATAACCCACAAAAGACTAGGTGACCAGGGGGTGAAAAAGGAAGGAATTAGATTTAATTAAGAAATCCTAAATCAGGAAATAAAAGAAGTTAATGGTAAGCCACCCAGCTTGCATATTTGTAGTATTCAAATCACTGAGCTTCTAGGCAAAGCCCAAGGGAAGGCTAACCTTCCGTGGTGCCTGTGAACCTCATTAAGTACTTCCCCTCATCCTCCTGTAACAGGAGAACCTCTGCCATCCCCCTCCCCCCTTTTCTTTCTGCCATCCCTTTAATAGGGGAGGAAAGAGGGTCACAGATCGCTTAGGGTCCCACTGCATGGAAAGCAGTTGAGCAGGATTTGGGACTCCAGTATGTCTGGCTGCCTTGAAAGTTTATCAGTTTTTGCAAGCGAACGGTTTTAAGAACCTGTATTTTCTACATTCCTTGATCGCTCGTTATGACATTTAAACTTCAATGCTCCATTCAAACACCCTGTGCATTTGATGTTTAGACTGGTTTCATTTAGTCCCAGCGGCAGCTCATCTGCAAGATGTCAAAGATGAAATATGAGTTGGCACAAGGATGCCTCATTAATCTCTAATACAAATAGAAATTTCTCTGATTCCTTAAAAGCACTTTATCATTGCTTGGAGGCTGGAAACTGTTTCTAGCCCCCTCATTACAGAATTATTTATGGGCAAACAGTAGAGATATAACCCTCCATGTAAAATCTTAATTACTGCCCTTCCAGCTGATTTTTGTGTCCTCTGAAGGGGTATAAATGAGAAGAATAACAGTTGAAGAAATCAGAACAAAGTCTGCACAGTGGAATATAGCTGCACCAAGGTCTAGACGTGCATTCATGGCTCCTGGATCCACTCTTGTTTCCCCACGACCGCTCTTTTTTTTTTTTTTTTAAAGATTTTATTTATTTGACAAGCAGAGGAGGAGCAGGCACCCTGCTGAGCAGAAAGCCTGATGCAGGGCTTGATCCCAGGACCCTGGGATCATGAGCTGAGCTGAAGGCAGATGCTTAACCGACTAGGCATCCCTTGTTTGTGGTTTTCTTGAGGACAAGGCCATAGCTGGTCCTCTCTGTGTCCTTTCCTAGGGTCTGGCCCAGTCATCAGTACACAGTAGGATTTAATAAATATTTGTTGAACAGAACTGCACTTGGGTGACTTATTCTGTCTCTGGATATTCTATACACATATTTAAACACAGATTATTCCACTGTGCTCATGTCATTGTTTAATCATTGTGTGCCATCCTTTGTTCAATCTAATAAAAGCCATGGAACACTGAATATACTATGGCCAACAGCAAGATTTTAAAAAAAGATCCCTGAAATGTGACCTGTAGGATGGTCTGGTCTCCCTCATTTAGCAGCAGGACCTGAAGCCAGAGAGACAAAGCCCCTGACAATGGCAGGGTCAGGCTAGGGGCTCTGCTGTCTGGTCCCTAGGCTCACTACCATCCCACCCAGCTGCACTTTGCACCTGTTAACAGCACACAGCAGAGGGGGAAGGTCAGTTATGAATGGGGGGATGGACATTTAGCCCTCAGGAGAAGCCAAATGAGCAAATGAAAAGAAATATAATCAGTTCAGATTTTATAACCTATGGCAAGTAATTTGTTCTTCAGAAAACATGGATGTTTTTAAAAATCAGTATTTCCTGGAGCTATTTAGAGGACAGCTTCCAACTTCCATCATTTGGGAGGGATGAAATTAGGATTATCTAGGCTATGGGTGTCTCCTTAGTATATAAAAGCACCATCCGGGTGACACGCAGTTCTTCTCAGAGACAGACTGTGCTGAAGGGTAACCAGAGAGCTGATACCATTAGCTGTGAGTGCTCTGAGGGCCCTGGGATGTGGCGAGCTGACTGAGGTTTGCACTGCAGTTACTGCCAATTTTTTAAGTATCATTTTGAATCATAACTTGGATCTGAATCCTAACTCTGCAAATTCATCTTGATCCCCTTTCTAAATCTTTTTGTTCTTCTGTTTCCTCATCTGTAAAATACAGGGGACACTAATAAAAGGAATCTCATAGGGCCATTGGAGGGCTGAATGAAATAGTGAATGTTAAAGCATTTAGCAAAGCACCTGGCACAGAGCAAGCACTTGGTCAATATTAAATATTGTTGCTATTTTATTCTCTTCACACAGGCCCTCCTAATTCTAGTATTCAAAACTGTGCACGGAACACACGCACCCCCAAGTATCCTGTCAACCGTAGAAAAGAGGGTGCCCCCACAGGGGTATTTACGGGAGGGTGCTCCAGGATTCAAACTCCATTCACACAGAAAGCTGGCTGCAGTGTGACCATGAGTAATGCTTAGTGAGCACTGACAGTGGGTCAGGCCTCTCCTGAAGCAAGCTACATGCGTGATACTGAGCATGAAGTGGAGTATGGCGAGGCCAGATGTGGGAAGATCAATCCAGAATCAGATAAAATAGAAGGCAAGCTTTCATCGTCATACACAGTCAGTGGGAGCCAATAAACCTGGTAGATGCCAGTTACCCAGGAGAAGGGCAGGCAGGGAGGCCAAGAAGGCAGAAAACCTCTCCGGAGCCAAGTGGCCAGACAGATGGCAGTGCATGTGTGTGCACAACTAGATGTCATGGCTGCAGTTGAGTGAGTGACCAAAACACAGCTCTCCTTCCCAAAGGGATTGTTTTGAGAATGACCACTTGATGGTACTGAGATAATGAGGTACCATCTGATAAAAATGAATTACTAAGCATTTAGAAATAAAGAAACCCCACAGAGCAACTGACCTCAAAACATTTTTCTTTCTTTGCTTGGTGAAGCAGGTTAGCCATTCCGGGAAGTAGAACTGGAAAGATGAATGTTTCCAGATATTCCTTGGGGGAACCTAAACCAAACAAACAAAAAAAATCCCACTGAAAATCCCAAATGGCCCAGATGAATCTGGGAGATATGTTTGTTTCTGAACCAAAAAAAGATATTGTCCGTGAAGTAACAGGACCTTAAATGCATTTTACTTCAGACTGCTGAGTTGGGCTGTGTTATTAAAGAAACTGAAAATATCTTTCTGAGCCTCTGTGGACTGGCGAGGATGTAGACGGGGTCCTGCACAGGGCTGGGGCCACAGGCACAGCAAGGAGGCCAGTGTGGCTGGAGGGAAAATAAGCAAGGGAAGTGTGGTAGCAATGAGGAGGGGAGGAACAGGTTGGGGGTACAATGCATGGGGCATTATGTCCACAGTAATGGTGGTGGTGGTTGCCAAGGCCCAAAGCTCACTAGCAGAGAGAACAAACAAAATGGTAGGAGAGGTCTGGTCCCAGGGAGGGCCTGAGGAACTGGTCCCAGGGAGAAAATGGAGAAAGCCTACACCTCTGACTTCAACCCACAAGACAGGGCAGCGTGATACTTTCATCCACCTTTTACATTCCCCCCTTTGATTTTAATGTAGAATCAAGGTATGCTTGCTGTTATTTATCATCTTTCTTATATTTCATCCTTAAAGATAAACCAGTGCGATAAAGTTACTTCTCTTAGAAATAAAAATTAAGGGGCGCCTGGTTGGCTCAGTCAGTAGAGTATGTGACTCTTGATCTCAGGGTCACGAGTTAAAGCCCCATGTTGGGCATGGAACCTACTTAAAATTTTTTTTTAAAAATATAAGAAAATTCTGATACATATTAAAAAAATAAAAGATAAAATTAAACTTAAAATAAGAAGATATTCTTTCATATTTTTGTGGTCTCCCTGAGGTCTGTCTACCCCATTCCCACGCTGTAGTTTTGCAATGTTACAAGCCCCACATTATAAAAGACAAAATCTCCCTTACTTACATGTTTTTGGATCAACTGTTTCCAACTTGACTTGAGGACAGAGTACATGCGAGCCCATGGTCAAATGAGGAGCTGAATAAACGTGCTCTGTATTGAAGCCATGGAGAACCGTTTCCTCTAATGGTGAAACCTGATGGGGGGGGGTTGGGGGGAGAATCAATTCATATAAATAGTTTAAATAACTGTATTTTCCTGTGTAACCTAACAAAGGATAAAATTCTGTATTAACTTCAGGTTCAAGGGGCACAATGAGTACAAATCTTTGTGCCCTCTTCCCTTCTGAGACACCTATAAATGACAATCAAGGAATAAAGCCCTAATAGAGAAAAAGAACAGGAGAACCATCAGTGGATGAAAGATTTGCAAACATTTCCAAAAGTAACAGAGATGAAGCCTGTGGTCAAGGAAGAGAGGGAAGGGTAGCCCAGGATCCATAAGAGGAAACGGTGCCAGTGGATGGGAGTCCCTCTTCCCAACAAAACTCCAGAAGGCTTTAATCCCCTCAGAAGATGGGAATGAGAAAAGGAATGATAAACAGGAGGGTTTAAGTGAAAATCCAGCTGGGGCTTCACTGGCCTGCTCTCTACATTTCCCCTCCTCCTGCTTCTGCTCCTTTCAATATACATAAAGCTCCATTCCCACCATGTTTTATATCCAGTTCTCTCTCCTTGCCAGTGATTCTAGTGATTTCCACTGACTTCTAGGATTGGCCAAGCTGATAGCCGAAAGGAGAAAAAAAAAAAAAGAAAAAAAAAAAAAAAAAACCTCTCCATTGATTTGGAGGCTTTCTGCCTGCAACTCGGAAGAAAAGTCTTCCATTAGACAATCACTCCCCACCTGCTCCTAGTCAATGTTTCTATTCGTAGATGAGACTCATCCAGAAGACAAACGCACATGGATGACTGCAGAAGAAAATCATACCAGCTACATAGAAAAATCCACTCAGATCCCCATTTTAAATTTTGAATAAGTAACAAAAGTTCTCTACACAAAAACATCAACAGCATAAAGGACAGATATCAAGATCTACCAAGAAAAACTGACTCTGGAAAAAGCACAAACAATTCAGGGAAGGGAACTGTAATTGGTATCTGCAGAGACATTTGAGAAAGCATTACATCCACAGAGCAAGAACAGGATGCTACGAAAAAAGAACAATCACAGGCAAGAAATTCTTAGAATCTCTAGTAGTGGCGTCCGCAATAACCTACTGGAATTCTAGAGACTTAGGTTTGGGTCCTATCTCTGTGACCCTGCTCAATTCCCTGAATCTTTCAGAGCCTTGCTCTTTTATTTTAAACTCCATTAAGCCCTTATTTTACTTCAAGTATACTGTCTGAGGGCCCCCCTTCCTTGGCCCTCTTAGTAAGGTCTTTTTTATCTTGCCCACGCTGGTATGCATAGAGAAATGTGCTCTCTCCCCAAGTATGCCCAACATGGGCATGTGTTGGCTCCTTCAGAAAGAACTTTCTCATCCAGGATCTCATCTGAGCCCCACAGAGGTCCTGCGAGTTAGTCAAGGATTATCTGCTCCATTTACCAGAGGTGGAAACTGAGGGTCAGAAGGGTTATATGATGCCCTCTAAGTGACACCATTAGTAGTAGTAGAGCTAGGACTGTCCCCAATTTCTGGTTCTAATTCCGGTGCCTTCCCTTTCCCACCTCCTTAACTCATGACATCAGCACCATTGTCACATAAGAGCCTTTCGTTTAGGTTGGGGCCTGGATGATACTCACAGAAATCATAGCTTCTTGTTTGACTTTACATCCCTCTGGAAAGGGAGGCAGCTCAGCTTCATACTCTAAAGGGAGCAGGGAAAAAAAATCCTTAATTCCACATTTCATTGCAGTTTGTGATACAATTTCCTTTCCTCTGAAGAAAACATTCTTAAATTTTAATTTGGTTGATGTTTCATTGAAATGAAAACAACTGGCTACTATAGGTTAATAACTACTGTGAACCACCTTATTTAAAATGGATGAGATGATTGTTCTCTTGTATGCCAGACTCAAGACTTTATGTAAGAATTTGAGCCTCTTTTGCTGAGAAGGTACAACTTTAGATTTTGCTCACAAATTATGATAACTACATGGAATAAAAGGAGGAAGAGAATGGGACAGAGGCCAAGAGAAGACACCAATAGTTATATAGAGAGGAGCGGAGGAAAGGAAAAAGAGGAGCACATGGTGGGAGGGCACTGTAAAAGCAACAGAGAGATGAGCTGTGTCTTGCAGTCATGAGGATGAGCATGAAGGCAGGATGGCCTGATCGGGGTACGCATCTGGAAGAGCAATCCCATAAAGACCCCACTACTCAAAGTGTGCCCAAGAACCAACAGCATCAGCATCTCTGGGGAGTTAGAAATGCAACACCTAAATACACCCCTGACCTGCTGAATCTGAGCCTTCATTTTAAGAAGATCCCAGGTGACCTGTATGCACAAGTGGGAGTAGTTCTGCTTTAAACTCCAGTAGCTTCCTATCCTGGCTGCACACAAGAATCGCTGGGGAAAGGGCACCTGGGTGGCTCAGTGTGTTAAAGCCTCTGCCTTCGGCTCAGGTCATGATCTCAGGGTCCTGGGATCGAGGCCTGCATCGGGCTCTCTGCTCAGCAGCGAGCCTGCTTCCCCCCCCCTCTGCCTACTTGTGGTCTCTGTCAAATAAATAAATAAAATCTTAAAAAAAAAAAAAAAAAAGAATCACTGGGGAACTTTTTGAAACTAACTTTCTGGAGTTGGGCCCAGACATTCTGATTCAATGGATCTAGGGTGGAGGCCTGGGAATCAGTATTTTTAAAGCTTTCCAGCTGGGTTTTTTTTTTTTTTTTAAATTTATTTGACAGAGAGAGAGAGATTACAAGTAGGCAGAGAGGCAGGCAGAGAGGCGGGGAAGCAGGCTTCCCGCTGATCAGAGAGCCCGATGCAGGGCTCAATCCCAGGACCCTGTGATCATGACCTGAGCTGAAGGCAGAGGTTTAACCCACTGACCCACCCAGGCGCCCCTAAAGCTTTCCAGCTGATTCTAATGTGCAGTGAGGTTGCCAGGTTTCAAGGCTGCTCACAGTCAACATGTTGGAGAGCCTAATGCAATGAACAGTCCATACAAGTTCTGCAGGGTAACAAGAACTATTGCTTGGAGAGGGACAGAAATGCTTGGGGCTAAATTAGTTACATCCCTAAAAAAGAGTGGTAAGAATTTTTCTGGAAAAGTCAATGTTTTAATGACAAATATTGCTTTGCTGCAATGAGGAAAAACAGTTTCTGAGCAAGATGGTATCAATGGAATGAATAAAATTGTATTGGACACATAGTTCCTTGGATACCTAGTTCCTCGTCAGTGAAACATCTCTTGACTTCTTTTTTCTTAACTCCTAGGTGTCAGGCTGGGGACCAGTATGTCAGCCTGTAGGTTGCAAGCAATCTTGCCCTGTACCAGCTATATTAGTTTTCTAATGCTATGTAAAAAATCACCACAAACTTTGCAACATTAAACAACACAAATTTATTATTTCACAGTTCCCGTGGGTCAGGAGTCCAGTATGGGTCAGGATCTCATCAGGCTCAAATCAAGTTATTGGCCATTCATGGCTGTGATCTCATCTGAGAGTTGTGTCCTCTTCTAAGATCATTGGTTGTTGACAGGATTCAGTTTCTTGTGGCTGTACGTTTGAAGCTCCCATTTTCTTTTTGTTGGTGGGACTCTCAGCTCCGAGAGGGCACCCTCAGTCCTTGTCATGGACAGTCCACATGTGGTTATTTGCTACTTCAAGGCAAACAGGAGTCTCTTCTGCTTTAATGACTTTGACTTAAGGTTCACCTGATTAGGTCAGGCCCACTTACAGTGATCTTCCTAACTTAAAGTCAATTGATGACAAACTTCAATAATGTCTGGAAAATCCCTTGATGGCAATGCCTAGATTTGTGTTTGGTTGAATATCTTGGAGATGTGTGCAGTAGGGAGTGGGAATCCTTGGAGCCATCATAGATTTCCACCCACCATAACAGCTTGAGCTCTACCACTTTGCTTTCTTCTCAAGCAAGCATATAAACTCGCTCTTCTTTCCCAAACACTTTGAGAAACACAAACATGGTGTGAAAACTATTTATTCAGACTTAGGATATACATATTTAGAGCTTTGTCTGATGACAAAAGCAATACACGCTATGATGAGGAAATTCCAAATAATACAGACCTGTCTTGTGTAAAGAGTGTAAGTCACATCCAATCCCATTATAACCCATAACCACTGTATTTCAACGTATTTACTAACATATGCATATAACACACAAGTACATTTATTTTACATCTCCTAGACCATGCCAAATCATCCAAGTATAGAACCTCATAGCACAGTCCTTTTTCTTCATAATTCCTATCAGTTTTATCCTCATTTGAAGTCTGTAAAAATTAATGACTGTGTTTAGTGAGGGAAATTGTCTGGGTCTGTTTATGCTCACCATCATATTCCCAAAGAATACTTACTGACTGAATGAATGAATGAACAAAATGAAGAATATAGCAAGTTACTTTTGATTCTTTATCTATTCTTTTGTTCACACTTACTGAGAGCTTACTATGTGCCAAGAACCATTCTAGGTGTTGAATCTTGGCCATCTTTCAAGATCGCTACATATATGATATGCCACAATTATTTAACCAGTGTACTTAATGAGTGCTTAGGTTGTTTCCAATTTTTCATTATTACAAACAATGCTGCCAGGAGCATCACCATATATGTATATGGTGATATATATATTGATTGGAAAAGAGATATTGTTATAGGAGTAATTCTTAGATGTGGAATTGTTCTGTTAAAGGAAAAAATAATTTAAAATTTCGACCAAATTGACAAATGTTCCTCCAAGAAGTTTATAACAATTTATACTCCTAATAGTAAGATTGTTTCTCGAGGGTATTACCAATCTCATATATACTTAAATGACATTTTGCTTTTATATGCATTTATTATTTAAGTTTCCTTAATTCTCTGCCTCGGTTTCCTCAATTTTGCCTGTACAACAGGCAAAGCCCTGAGTTGCTGTGAGGTTTAAATGAGAGGAAAAGCTTCTAGCACAGTGTCTGGCACATAGAGCAGCTCAATAAATGTTGCCATTAGAATGATTTGAGCAAATGGTAGGTGATGAACCTTAAAAAAAAAAAAAAAAAAAAAAAGACAGAATCCAGATCATTAAGGGGCTTAGATCTTAAGCTAAAGAGTTTGTTTACCATGAAAGTTATGAAAATCATCGTAGGTCAAGGCATGATGTGGTCAGACTTGAATTTTAGAGGGGTTCCTCTGGAACAGGGTCTGGATAGAGGACTTCTGCAATTAAAAAGCTATAGCAGCAATCCAAACAGGGTGTGGTAAGGGCCTGATCTACAGCAGCAGCCATGAGAACTGGGGGGTGGGGAGTTGGGTCTTACAAATATTAAGCAGGTAGAATCTATAGGGATTGGAGAATGTGGGGATCATGAAAAGCAAATGGGAAACATGTTAAGATGAATCTTAATGATTCACCTTATGATGAATCCAATGAGGATTTAATGGTGAAATCCAGTGAGGATTTCTGGACTGGGTAGCTGAGTGAATGATGGTGACACTCGTTGAGAACGAAAGTTGCTGGGTGTCTAGAATAGTGCCTGGAGTCATTCCTAGCCTAGCACTTAAAACAGTTCCCAGCATGGGTAGATAGGTTGACAGAATAGGTGAGAATAATTTCACTGGAACCATGAGGTAAGTAGGAGCTAGTCTGCGCTGGGTTGATAAAAGGAGTGACAGTGGTATGAACAAGGGCAGTGTGTTCTTTCCAGAAGCTTGGCTGAGAGAAGAAAAGGGATAAACAAGAGCTAGAAGATAATACGTGCTAAGGGAGAGGTTTTTCTCAAGATGACAGACCACAGGATGTTTGGAAGGAAAAGTCAGTAAAGAAGTTATATGTAGGAGATGGGGTGACAGAGCAGGATCCTGGGATGCCAAGAGGATGGTACCAAAGCCCAGATGCCGGCTGAGCTGCTGGTAGCAGGGTATGTGTGCAGATGCAAATATGTTAATCGGTATAAGGAAATTGAAGGATCCCCTCCCTGCCTCCAAATACCTGACCCTTCTCAGTGAATGTCTCCTACATTTACTAAGTGATACCACCCAACATTTGAAGGGGGTTAGAAACTTGGGGCCAGTAGATGGGGGCAACGGAAGAAGCCACTGAGGGATGTTGACTGACAGGCAGTGTGAGAGCCCCCTGGTGTCACTTTTCTCCAGCTGTACTCAGCGGCTGCTCTAAGGTTACATGGATTGATTCAGAGCTGGTTCATGTTGGTATCTGGCAGGTGGGATGGAGGAACCTGATTTTACAACGGCTCTAAGGGTTGAGGTTGCAGAGTATTTGGAGTAATGAACCAATGGCAATAATGAGGATGCTGATGAGAGTAATAACAGCAATAACAAAACAGGAGACTGTAAGGTCCTGATACTTTGACTCGGTCTTCATTAAAACCATAGTTAAAAATCATGTCACAAGCAAGAATAAGATTTAATTAGAAGCCTTGGCAGGAAAGAACTTTATTGATACTGATACAAGTGCCTTTGAGGATACAAAGCTCAGAGGTAGTCATCACTGGAAAGTTGAGAGCGAAAATTAAAGAAAAATTACAAATAAGTTGTCAAGTTATATAAACACACACATGTACACACACACACAGCATCAGCCAGGTAGGACAGTCTTAAGTCAGATATTTATCTATTCTATATTTCTTCTTCCTGAAATTGAGTTTCTCACAGGTCTATTTGCTGTGATGAGTTGCTTTTTAAATGGAGATGTACTAATAGAACGTAACAGTTAACCTCAAACATAGGATTACCGCAAAGCCTGCTTTTCATGTTTGTTGTGAGGCACGAAATTTACCCATTATATGCTTGTTATAGGCAACTCCATGTTAGAACGGTTAAAAAATTCATCTGGCTTAAAATAATCATGACAGAGCCTTAGTATATAATTCACCATCTCTGACCCCATTAACTTCGTGATGTAACTCTATCACTTTGTGAGTAGCAATTCACTTGCTTTACAGAGAGCGCCAAACCTCTGTCTTTGCTTTTCCCTACAGGGCTATTTGACCAAAATAATCTTCTGACTTTAAAACACAAGGCAAACCGTGTTTCACTGTTTACAACAATGAACATTTATTGAGCTCTTTCTAAATGCCTGACACTATGCTAATCACCTTCACAAATATTATCTTACCTGGTCCTCACATCAGCCCTGTGAGGTAGGTAAGCAGTTTCCCTTAGACAACACACCAGTAATAAACTCTGTTACAAAGAACTGTTTGGCTTGAAGTCAAAACTCTTTCCACTTTTCCGGGGAAAAGACATTCACGACTACCTTCAAATATGAGTGGTTTCTTTAAGGTAGAGTGATCAACTTGGGTCATGACACCAAGGGGTTAGGACCAAAGGGTAGAAATTACAGGGAGAACTTTGATTTTTCTAAATATAATGTGAAACTGGAAAAGGAATTCAAGCACTGGATGGGAGGTGAAACAGACGGCCGCTGAGAGTTACCTATCAACTCGGAGTCCGCAATTCTCTTCCTCCTCTGTATTTTCCACTTCTTTCATATATTGGTGTATTCACTCTTTTTCCCCATTCAACAAACATTTCCTGGTTTGTCCAATATGGTATCCACTAGCCATAGTCGCTGTTTACATTTGGTTAACTTAAGTAAAATAAAAAACTTGAGTCCCACATGCACTACCCACATTTTAAGCGCTCAAAACTATATGTGCCTAGTAGCTTCCACATTTTTTTTGAGCCATAACTGACATTTAACATTAAATTAGTTTCAGGTGTACAACATGATCAATCAATAGGGCTACCATATTTGCAAGTTCTGGGAAGTGCTGTTTCAGGCAGCTGACATAGAATAATCACGAGAATGAAAAATCTCGAGTTTTTGACCTTGAGGAGCTTACAATCTAGAGGAGAAAAAAAACCCACCCAATATTATTTTTTAAGAGCTCACACTTATCGAATTCTTGCTGGAAATCGGGCAGTTTGCTAAGCACTTTCTTGTGACTATTTAGCTGCAATGCTCTTAACACCATAAAACAGATGTCATTATTTTGCTCACTTTACAGAAAGGGCAGTAACTTGCTCAACGTATGTGAAAAGTACTGAAAGGCCTCATGACCAAGAGTAGTGTAGGGCCATGAAAGAAATTGAGCTAAACTTCACTTGGGGAGTTTAAGGAAGATCAGAAGTGGAGAGGGATTAAAACCCAAATCTGTAGAGACCATGTTTACTCAACCTGTGGGCTACAGACTTAACTAATCAGAATTACCTAGGATGCACGTTAAGAGTGCAGATTCCCTGCACCTCATTATGGGATCTGTGGGCAGGAACTGGGATCCTACGCTTTAACCAAGCTCCCCATCTTTCTCCCAAAGGTTCTTTCTTATTTATTAAGTGAGGTTGGAGAGCCACTGTCCACACCACTGGGTCCCCTTTGTTCCGCTTTCCCCTGGCTTCCCTGGCTTTAATTTGAGTACGGATCAAGGTGGAAGCCTGCGGTACGACATCTCGCACGAAAGTCTCGGAGCCTCAGTTTCCCCGTCCTTGAAATGGAGATCCTGGCGGGCCTGCCGCGCGGCTACCAAGGGGGCCACGCACGTCAGGCGCCGGGAGAACGCTGACCCCGCCTGGTGAGTCCCGCCCCTCTCTGCCGGCCCGGGCTGCCTACCCTCGCAGATCTGCTCCCACAGGTTCTTGCCCGGAGGCTCCACGCCCTGTCCTGGCGAGAGAGGTAGCTCGGGGGACACGGTGGACACGATGGGCACTGACGTCCGGGCAGTGTCCGACGACTCTGCGGAGCCAGCCGGCTCCTCGCGCTGGGTTGTGCGACCACTCGCCGGACCCGGTGCCGCCATGGCCGCGGTTTCCACGGCAACCGCCCTCCCGGCTTGGCTACGACCCGGAAGGAGCCGGAACTCAAGGAGGCGGGCCAGCGACTCGAGATTAATTTCCGGGTCGCGGCCGAGCTGGCTTTCACGTGGAGGCGGGGAAGATTGGCGTACCGGTGAGTGCTTAGGAGCGGCACTGGTGGGGCGGCGCGGGGTCTAGAGATGGGGTCTGGGGACTTGCGCGGAGAACTGAGGGAGAAGTGGGTGACCTGTACCCCAAATCCACACATAATCCCTCCCACCGCAGTCGCCTGTGTGCGCTCGCTCCGGCCTGGAATTTCTCCCCCCTTGAAGCGGGGCCGGGATCCCGCGTAATCCCTCCCTGTGTGTTTGTGCGGAAGCTGTGGCGCGGCGGAACCGGTGAGGGACCGTTCTCGCCTCCTGGCTCCCTTGCTTCCTGCTCGTGAACCGGCGGCGGCGGCGGCGGCGGCGGCCGCCGTGGGGTGTGTGTTCCCCTGTGCAGAGCGCAGGCTGCGTTCGAGTCCTTTTTGCCACTTGCTGGCTGTTGGACCCAGGAGAAGTAAATTCAAGTCTCGAAGCCTCAGCAAGTATGAGATGGGGTCTTCACACCGGTCCTCGGGAGACTACCGCGAGGTTTTAAAAGGGCTTTTGGAGAAAGTTTGCTTTTGTTGGAGACACACTGTAAGAGTCTTTCCTCTTGGAGCGAATTTATCTGGGGTCGCAGCGTTGAAGAGCAAGATCTTCAGTCCTGTAGAGGAAGGAAGCTACAGTGATTATGAAAGGGGGTTCAAGGACTACAGTCCCCCTTTAAGTTCTTTGTTCTAATCAGATCACTTGACCACTCCCCCACCTGAGGCACTCTTGGCGCTCTCGGGGCGCTCGCGCTATCATATTCTCTCTCTCTCTCTCTCTCTCTCTCTCTCTCTCGACTCCACCCTCTCCAAGTTTGCATCTTCTTCCTTTGCAGGCCCCTTTCCCTCTGCCCTCCTGCTTCCCTGAGGTCTTAGGCTCATTCTTTTTGAGGCTTAATTACCATCCATATATTTATTTATGAGTGTTTTTTTTTTAAACTCCTGTCAGCCCAGTCACCCCCGAGCCTCGAACCCACATATCCACCTGTCCACTTGCATAGCTCAAGGCATCTGCAAACCAGCCTGTCTCCTGCAGCTACCCGCCTTCAGTTCCTTTTTTTAAAGGGGTTAACCCCACCATCCCGCAATTGGCCTAAGCTGGAAACCTCTGTTCTAGAAACTTTCCAGACCACTGGTAAGCCAGATTAGATGAACTTCATTGACCTCACCACTAGCCTTGCTTTTATCATCGCATCTTCATTATCACACCTCTTCTCAGCCTACACCTGTTTCCTGATAGCAGGTGTTTTATCTTGTTCCTCTCTGGATCTCTGGCATTCATTCATTTAGTGCGTATTTGTCAAACACGCGCTGTGTGTCAGGTGCAGAGCTAGGCTCTGGGAATACAGCAGAAAACGGGACAAGAGTGAATAGAGAGGGTATATCCTTGACTTACAGGTGCTCCTGGCATGAGTTATAAATGAACTTGAGCTATGGCTTAGTCCTGGCCTGGCTCTTTGAAGCTGCTAATGGCTAACCAGGTCCAGTGTGGCTCCCTGGGGCAACGAGGCTAAAGAGAGCTTCAGGGTGGAGAAACTCCCGACCTTTCCTTCCCACTATCCAAACCTCCTTTGATTCCCTGGGTGTCTCCATGTCACCTAGTCCAGGGAGCAGCAGGAGCTTGTGTGTGGTAACTGGAGAGAAGTGTCCCAGCTGGAAGATAAAACGTACTTGGGGCGTCAGTCCCTTCCCACAGTTGCCTACATGACATTTCTCCCCCGCCAAAAGCTGGGCTTTCTAGGTTGCTCTGTGTCATCTTCAATTGCTAAATATTGGTAATTTGAAAATTTAGAAATAGTGAAGCAGGCAGGGTGTGGCCCCCAACACCTCCCCAGTCCCTAGCAGCATTTGGTCTGGTTCAATGCCTCTTTATGGATGGGGAAACTGAGGCCCAAAGAAACCAACACTATGGAGCAAGGGGCGTCAGTCACCATTTGGACCTAGGTCTTGTCAGTCCTAGCTGGGGCTGCCTTCATCATATCTTGTTACCATTCTTATTACTAGCCACATGGGAAGGTAGTTAGGGAAAGTCACCCGGGGGTAGGTGAGGGGAATTTATTTCCAGACACAAAGGAAAAGAGTTGCTTAGATGAACCAAGGTAAGGGGTTAATTGTGCCATAGTTATTGCCTCTGGTGGGAATTAGCAGGTAGAGTTGACCTCAAGATTTCTGTCCCCTTCATTCAGTGAAAGGTAAGTCCCTGCCTGAGGAGAGCATTTGATCTCTGATTTGATTGCAGTTGTATCTTCAGTGGCCAGCACAGGGTAGGCAGTGGGTAAATTTGTTTAATGGGTGACTAGGATCAGAGATTTAAGGAAGGCAGTGAGAAAGAGAATCCCTTTCCAGGGATTATTATATATTCTTGCCCTTTGAGAGGGCAATTTCTATTTCACCATCTCCCCCCCCCCCCATTTTCCAGATGGGAACATTAATGTTCAGGGAGGCTGGGTGACTGGGGTTTAAGTTAATGAGGGAGCAGTTTGAATTTGAACTTGGGCCTGTCTCCATTTAAATTCCGTTCTACTTCTTTCATTACATTTTCCTTTGTCTCAAGGAATGACTCCCATTTTCCCATCCTCTAACATTTCAGGCTAGCCACTCAGAATTGTGGCTCTTGGCACTAACTAGCCGAATTGTACATGGGGTGGTTTGGTATGGAGATAACTTGTACCATTTCTCTTTTCAGGAATGATCACGAAAACCCACAAAGGAGACCCGGGCCTTGGGGTCCCAGAGAAAAAGAAAAAGAAAAAGAAGGTAGTCAAAGAACCAGAGACTCAGTACTCGGTTTTAAACAGTGATAATTACTTCACTGAGATTTGTCCCACAAGAGCAACACTCCCCTCAAAGAATGTGGAGCTAGGGCAGGCATCTGAGATGCCTCTGGTGAAGAAAAAGAAGAAAAAGAAGGGCCATAGTACCCTCTGTCAGGAGCACCTAGAACCCGAGACCGTGTTACGTGCTGGACGGACAGAGAAGTTGGCCACCCCCAGGAAGCAGGCTCTTGGTTCATCTGAGTTCCAAGGTGGGGAGAAGAAAAAAAAGAGGAAGTCCTTAAAACCTCTGGCCATGCCTTCTAGCTCAAGAGGGAGGACCTCCCCAGACACTAGACAGGTTGAGGAGGTGACCAGAGTTGGCAAGAAGCCCAAAAAACACAAGAAGGAGAAGAAGGCCCGGGAGGCTGTAGCTGCCTCGGCCAAGGACCCTTGTTTCCGTGAGTTTGGGGATACTCTGTACGCTTGCTCAGTGGGGAAGGATGGTGCGGAGCAGACAGGCTCAGGGCAGAAACGGAAACAGGACAGCCCCAGGGAATGCAACGTGAAGATGAAGAAGAAAAAGAAAATCCACCTTAAGGGAGATACCTCCGTAGAAGAGCACCTTGAGTGCTCCAAGTCTGTGGAGAGCAGCCCTAGGAAAGGAACTAAGAAGCCAGTCAAACTTGAGGCTCCAGAATACATCCCAATAGGACATAACCCCAAGTCCCCCGCAAAGAAGAAAATGAAGTCCAAGAAAAAGGTAGAGCAGCCAGGCATTGAGGAGCCAGCTCTGAAGAGGAGTAAAAAGAAGAAGGTGAAAGAGAGCAAAGTAGCGGAAGAACCTTGGGAAGAGGTAGGCATTTCTTCAGAATCAGATTCTGCTTTGGGAGAATAAGGGTGGAAATTGGGGTGGGGGGAACGAGAGAGAGCGAGAAAGAGAGATAAATGTGTGTGTATGTGTGTGAGACATTTGTAGCCACCAGAACCCAGATAAAACTGACTTCAACCAGAAAAGAGATTTGTTGAGACATGTAACTGAAAAGGTTAAAAGCTATTTAATTTCAGATATGGCTGGATCTAGGGGCTCATGGAATATCCTCAGTAGTAAGGGTATCCCTTGTTATTGAAACTCTAACCAGGTCCTCACTATCTCCACTCAAGATCTGAATAAATTGGAATAAATTTTTTAGATGAATCTCTCCCTTTCTGAACTCTTGCCTCTCGCTGTCCAAAACTCAGGAACCAAATAGTTTGAGTTAACATGTCTGTGGCTATCCGAGCTTATTTTCTATGCTCAGTGTACATGATTTAGTGATCAAATAGATTTGGATCGCAGGAGATGCCAGTGTGCCTTTCCCCAGCTCTTCATATTTTTTTTTCTTTGTTGGTTTTGGTCCCTCCCACCCCACAGCAAGATGGTCTCAGTAGCTCCAGGATTTCATCCTAGTAGTTAGGTTACCCCCAAAGGGAGAGAGCGCACCTCCGAAACAATTACAGAAGTCTCAGGGCTGCTCTCACACGCATCGATTAGATCACATAAGCTGGAAGCCCTGACCTTAAGCCAGGGGGAGGGACCTAGGGTATCCATCCCATCTGAACCCCACTGTCTGCAGTTAGGGGGAAAAGACCGTTTTTAAGAGGAAAACCCAGTCCTGATTCCCAGGAGGAAGGGAAGAGTTGATGTTCTGATGAATACAACAGAGATCCACTGTCTCCATCCTGACAAGCTTTAGTGCAGGAAGGAAGGGAGGGGAGATGAGCCTGAGCTCTTGGACTCCACAGGCCATGTCTATACCAGGGCCACACCTCCATTCCTCTCTTTGGGGTATGTGTGTGCATGTGCAGAGGTAATGAGATGGTACATGTCGTACTCCAAGCGGATGTCTGGCCTGTTGGGGTAGCGATGGCTGAAATTTCTTGAACACCTAATCATGTGCCTGGCACTAAGCTAATGCTCCCCATGTATTAACCCGTTTAATCCTCACATCAGTCTGGTGAAATTACTGCTGTGGTCATCCTCATTTAACAGACAAGGAAACAGATTCAGAGGAGTTAAATACCTTGTTCAAGATCTCCCACCTGGTACAGTGTGGGGCTGGGCTTTAAACCCAATCTGGCTTCTGAACTTGAGGTTTCATCCTTTCTCAGAAGCTGCCCTGTAACTTCTCATAGATTCCAGTATCATTAGAGCCCAAGAAGTGACTGTCTTATATTGGAACAAGCCCTGGATTCTCTTCCCAGTTCTATACCAGCCAGCTGTGTGAGCTCAGACCACCCACTGTCCTGTGGTCCTCAAGTAAGAATGATGGCTACTGTGTACTGAGCACTTAACTGAAGTTTGACTCTGGCGTTGGAGGGGCTCAGTTAATACTGACTGATGGATGACCCCCCTGGGGCAAGGTCATCAAGAAGGTGTCTGTGTGGCTTGAGCTCTGCTTGGCCAGAGAGGGTTGAGGAGGCTGGCAGGGGTGGCCTCCATATCAGGGCCTACAAGAGGTAGTTCTGGTTTCTGGATTTTTCCCAATTCTGCCCTACTCCACTAGATTTGGGTGTAGTGGTCTCTTCAGAAGTTGTTGGGGCCAAGAAGAACCCCAGAGGTGGGAGCCTAACCCCTATCAGAATCTAGGACCCCTTCTCTCTGGAGTCCAGTCACTCCCCTCTGTTTAACATCTCCTGCAATGGGGGCTTTGCTGCCGAGGACAAGCCCACCAAGTCGGGAAGTGCACCTATCTTCAAGGTCTGGATGGGTGATGTACGTGAACAGAGCCTTTAAGGGATCATCACACGTGGTGCTGGGTGCCAGGCAGAGCACACCTAAAGTAAGGATGTCGGAAATGTGGCACTTGGCATTACCAAAGGACCAGGGAAAATGGCTGGCTCAAGGTTTCACTGTCAGAGGGTTCCATGGGGGCTGAGGCCAGTGAGAGAGTGTGGCACATGTAAGCACGCTCAGGACAGGCCCAGTGAGGATGCCATATGGAAGCAGAGACCTGTAAGCAGTGCCTGCTGTCAATTGTGCAGCGGGAACAGCGAGCGCCGGGGCTCTGGAAAGAACAAAGTGTAGCGGGAGCTGGGAGTTTAGGGGACCAAGTGCTAGAGACCAGAGAGGCCACAGGAGCCTAGATTTTTGTGTAAACAGGATGAGAGCCTCTGGAGGTTTTGGGGAGTGGAGTGCTGTGATCCAATTGAGTTATTAAATTTCTATTTAAGATTTTTTTTTTTAAAGATTATTTGAGAGAGCACTCGTGCAGAAGGGGGAGAGGGAGAAAGAATCTCAAGCATGCTGCACACCAAGTGCGGAGCCTGATGTGGGGCTCAATCTCAGGACCCTGAGATCAGGACCTGAGCTGAAACCAAGAGTCGGATGCTTAATCTACTGTGCCACCCAGGTTCCCCTTAAATTTTTACTTTCTTAATTGAGCTATAGTTGATATATAACATGGTATAAGTTTAAGGTGAATATATAACATGTTTCATTTGAGGGTTTTTAAAATTTTTTTTAAAAAGTATTTGTTACAGAGCACATGTGCATACCCATAAGTGGGTAAAGGAGGGGAGAGGAGCAGAGGGAGAAGGACAAGCAGACTCTGTGCTGAGTGTGGAGCCCAATGTACGGCTTGATCCCACAACCCTAAGATCATGACCTGAGCCAAAATCAGGAGTTGGACACTTAAACCGACTGAGCCACCCAGATGCCCCAAGATTTTATTTTTAAGTACTCTCTATACCCAGTGTGCGGCTCAAACCTACAACCCCAAGATCAAGAGTCTCATGCTCTACTAACTGAGACAGCCAGGTGCCCCTCCAGTTGAGGTTTCAAAGCTCACCTGAGCTGCTGTGCATAATGGAGCAAGGTTGGGGGATGAGAAAGCCCGTGTTAAAGACCTGTGCTTGTCCAGGCAGGAGAGAAGGCAGTGACTGGGAGTGGGGTAGGAGGGGGAGCAGTGTAGAGGAGAGAACTGGGTTTGGGTTTGTTGGCAGTGGGTTTGGGTCTCTCTCCCCACACCCACCCCCCAATCAGGGCCCCAAGGCCCTGTGCCCACCTGTCCCTTGCTAGCTGGCCCGCATCCCCCACCACCAACAGGACCCCTCTCACTGGTTTGGTGCCATGGGAGGTAAGATGATGTCTGTGTGGCAGGAAAGGTGCGCAAAGCCTAAGTCAAGAGACACGCATTAGTGTCAGCTCTGTCCCTGAGCTGTGGTGGGGCCGGGGGGTGACTTCCTGACTGTCGCTTCATCTCTCTAAGCCTTAGTTTCTTCAGATGTCAGATAGGTCAGTGCCATTGTTTTGAGGTAAGAATAGTTCCACGATTCCACAAGAGGATGTCAGAAGTTCTGGAAGTGGCAGGGGTTAAGGAGGTACTGCAGTCTTGGGTCTTTTCTGGACTCTGATGATCTCACCCTGCTGAGTTGCTGGGGCAGAGGCCTTTGTATGCCTGACTCTTACTCCATTTGCCCTTTTGTGCAGGAGCCTGACCCAGACTTAGAGGTGGTGTTGGAAAAGAAAGGCAACATGGATGAGGCGCACATAGACCAGGTATGCCCCAGGTCCTCACCCCCGCTTCCGTGTGTCTTGCCACCCGCCAGTCACACTTTTGTCTCCTACAAGGCAACAAGATTCTGGTCTCAGAGGTGTCAGGGACCCCAGAAGCCACCAGCCAGCCTCTGGCACACTTCTGATGGCAGGGAACTTGTGGCCTCCCCCACTTCATGCTGGGAGACCCCTTCACTACCACAGCTTTGACTCAGGGGCCACCGGGTCATTCAGAATCCCAGGCTGAGGCTCTCCTGCTTGTAATTGCTCCAGGGGGAGACAGAAGTGTGAACCCAGGAACTGTAGCCAGGGCAGAGAGCATGTGCTCAAGCAGGCCCGTGCATTGCCATCTCCTGTCCTCGATTCAGGAGTGTTGAGCGAAGTTAGTCTACTGTGGATCTTCTTCTGCCGTGCCCAGATCTGTAGGTAGATGCAGCCTGTACTGGAGCATGACTTTCTGGGAATTGGTGTATTCGTATGGTCCTGGACCAAATGACACCTGGCAGGACAGGGGGGTAACAGTGTAGGCTTGGCTTTGTACCATTACTAACGAGGTGACCTTGGGCAGTCACTGAGCTCATTGACCCTCGTATAGGTGGCTGCGAAGACTGAACGAAGTCATGTTTGTGAGGCGCTTAGCAGCTTACTAAGTGGCAGCTGTTACCCTGACCACATCCTCTTGCTTTGGCAGCAAGTAATTGCTAGAGAGAAGCAACAGGGTGTGATGCAGAGATGACCCCTGGTCCATGGCCCTTCTACTCCAGGAGAGAAGGAAATCAGAGAGTGCTAGCAGATGAGCGGAATATGAGGAGGCTTGTAAGATGTTACAGAAGTTCCAAATCTAATGCTTCTGAGGCCCTGGGGAACTCTCCCTGGAGGAGATACATTGAAGTGGGGCCAAGAAGATCCATTAGATGATGCTGACCGCCCAGTAGCGGGCCTAGCACGAAGCACAAGCCCCTCAGAGTGGGAGCTTCCCAGCCTTCTGCAGCTCAAAGGCACACTGCTCCCCAGGGTCAGGGCCAAGGGTAATGAGCTGGGCAGCCGCACAGAGAGGACAAAGGTGGGGCCCTGACCTGACTAGGACCTTCCATCAGTTCCTTTCCCAGGTGTCCTCAGCCAGTCAGGAAGCAAAGTCTGGAATTCTGAGAGTGTACTTCCTATGGGCAAGGCCCTGCCAACAACCCTTTATTTCTTTTTTGTGCCTACTGAGTACTTTGATTACTTGACAATTTTTAAGAAGACTTTTAACCATTTCCTGGGTGCTGCATTACCTCAGTGTAAGTGAATCTTTCTGTTTTACCTCTCCTGTTTTCCCCATAAGTCCTAAAACTTTACTGTGTTAAAAAAATTGCAACCTGAAAAGAAAGGCACCCTGAAATTCTACCACCTAATAATGATCATTGTTAGCTCTTTGTTATAGTCTTCCAGATTTTTCCTTTGTAACTATATATGTGTAATTTTAAAGCACTGTCCAATCTTGCTATGTATACTGTTCTTTTAACTTTTATCATTTAACTGGCGAATTACTTTTCATTTTGGCATATGCACATCTGTATCATTCCACATGAGGAGCATGGTTCCACTACAGGAATATATCATAATTTCTCTTACTTTTGCTGTTGTCACTTTGCTTTATGTAGTTTTAAACTTACATAAATGGTCAGCTTGACTCTATAAACGGTCACTTTGACTTAAAGCCTGTGGCAAATTAGGAGGGAGGAAGGGGGATGCCTAGGTGGCTCAGTTGGTTGAGAGTCCTAACTCGATTTCGGCTCAAGTCAAGATCTCAGTGCTGAGATTGAGGCTCATGTTGGGCTCTACACTGGGTGTGGAGGCTGCTTGAGATTCTCTCCCTCTCCCACCTCTACTACTCCACACCCCGCCCCCCACTCACACACGCTCGCTTGCTCTCACTCTCTCTATCAAAAAAAAAAAAAAAGTTGGGGGGAGGGAGAAAGGCCACAAATTAGGGCAGCTGAAGTTACACCTAAACCCTTAAAAGGGAGGACAAGGCCCTGGAAGCTTTTTTTTTTTTTTTTTAATTGAGGTGTAGTTGACCTCCAATGTTACATTAGTTTCAGGTGTACCACCTAATGATTCAGTAGTTACATATTTTATGAAATCATTAGCACAAAAAGCATAGTTACCATCTGTCACTGTACAAAGCTATTACAGTATTACTATGTTCCCTATGCTGTGTTTTACATGCCTGTGATTGATTTGTAGCTGGAAGTTTATACTTCTCAATCTCCTTCACCTGTTGAGCCCATCTGCCTATAACCCTCCATCTGGCAACCACTAGTTTTCTGTTTTTATGACTCATTATTGGTTTTTTTTTCTGTCTGTTATTTCACTTAGCATAATACACTGTAGGCGCATCCACACTGTTGCAAATGGCAAGGTTTCATTCTTTTTCAGGACTGGGTAATAGTCCACAGTGTTGGGGGTGGGGTGTGTGTGTGTGTGTGTTATGTAGTATGTATACACATACCACATCTTTTTGCATTTATCTATCAGTGAACACTTAGGATGCGTCCATATCTTGCTTGTTATAAATAACCGTGGTATAAACATAGGGGGTGCATATATCTTTTCAAATTAGTGTTTTCTGGGCGCCTGGGTAGCTCAGTCATTAAGCATCTGCCTTCAGCTCAGGTCATGATCACAGGGTCCTGGGATCAAGCCCCACATCAGGCTCCTTGCTCTGCGGGGAGCCTGCTTCTGCCAGTCCCACTCCCCCTACTTGAGTTTCTTCTCTCTCACTCTATCTCTGACAAATAAATAAAATCTTTAAAAAATCAGTGTTTTCCTTTTCTTTGGGTAAACACCTGAAGTAGAATTACTGGCTTATATAGTATTTCTATTTTAAAAAATTTTGAGGGGGGCCCCTGGGTGGCTCAGTGGGTTGAACCTCTGCCTTCTGCTCAGGTCATGATCTCAGGGTCCTGGGATCGAGCCCCACGTCGGGCTCTCTCCTCGGTGGGGGGCCTGCTTCCCCGCCCCCCCCACCTGCCTCTCTGTCTACTTGTGATCTCTCTGTGTCAAATAAATAAAATCTTTAAAAAAAAAAAGTTTAAAATATTTGAGGAAATTCCATGCTGTTCTTTATAGTGGTTGCACCAATTTACAGTCACCAGCAGTGTATACAAGAGTTGCCTTTCCTCAGCATCCTTGCCAACACTTGTTATTTCCTGTCTTTTTGATACTGTCCAGTCTGACTGGTGTGGTGTGATATCTCACTGTGGTTTTGATTTACATTTTCCTGATCATTAATGATGTTGAACATCTGTTGATGTGTCTATTGGCCCTTTGTATGTCTCCTTGGGCAAATGTCTCCTCAGGTCCTCTGCCCATTTTTAAATTTTTTTGTTTTTGTATTTTTGAGTTCTTTGTATTTTTTGGATATTAGCCCCTTGTTGAATACATTTACAACATGGATTTGAATTGTGCAAGTACGTGAATACATGGAATTTTTTTTTTTATACAGTACTATAAATGTATTTTTTCTTTTTTACAATTTTCTTAACACCTTTAGCTTGTGGTAAGAGTACAGTATATAATAAGTATAACATTCAAAATCTGTGTTGACTGGAAGCCTTACCAATAATATAAACTGTTAACAGTAGGCTACTAATAGTTAAATTTGGGGGGAGTCAAAAGTTATATGTGGATTTTCAACTGTGCAGGGAATCAGTGCCCCTATCCCCACTTGTTCAAGGGTCACCTGTATCATGTTCCCATTAAGTAAGTTGCCGTTGCATTTTATGGTTTCCTTTGCTATGCAGAAGCTTTTTAGTTTGATGTATCCCAATTGTTTTTATCGCCATCACCTGAGGAGACAAATCCAGAAAAACATTGCTAAGCCTGATATCCAAGTGTTTATTACCTATGTTTTCTTTCCTTTTCTTTTGTTAAGATTTTATTTATTTGAGAGGGAGAGAGAATGAGCAGGGGGAGAGAGCGGGAGAAGCAGGTTCCCCACTGAGCAGGGAGCCTGACGCAGGGCTTCATCTTAGGACCCTGGGATCATGACCTGAGCTGAAAGCAGACACTTAACTGAGTCCTCCAGGTGCCCTGCCTATATTTTCTTTCTTTCTTTCTTTCTTTCTTTCTTTCTTTCTTTCTTTCTTTCTTTCTTTCTTTCTTTCTTTCTTTCTTGTTGTTGTTTTAAGATTTTATTTATTTGAGAGAGCATGGGAGGGGAGAAGGTCAGAGAAAAGCAGATTCTTTTAGGACTCCTATGGTTTCAAGTCTCACATTTAAGTCTTGAATCCATTTTGAGTTTATTTTTGTGTATGGTATAAGCAAGTGGACCAATTCCATCCTTTTTGTGTAGCTGTCCAGTTTTCCCAACACCATTTATTATGAGACTGTTTCCCCCCATTGTATATCCTTGAATCCTTTGTCATAGATTAATTGACCATATAAATGTGGGGTCTCTTTCTGGGCTGTGTATTTTCTTCCATTAATCTGTTTTTGTGCCAGTACCATTCTATTTTGATTACAATTGCTTTGTAGTGTAGTTTGAAATCTGGGATTGTGCTTACCCTAGCTTTGTTTTTCTCTCTCAAGATTGCTTTGGCCATTCAGAGTCTTTGTGGTTCCATACAGATTTTAGGATTGTTAGTTCCAGTTCTATGCAGAATGCTATAGGTATTTGATAGGAATTGCCTTGAACCTGTAGACGGCTTTGGATAGTATGGGTATTTTAACAGTATTCTTCTGATCTGTGAGCATGGTATATCTTTTAAATAAGATTTTATTTATTTGACAGGGAGAGAGAGAGCGAGAGAGGGTAATACAAGCAGGGGGAGTGGGAAAGGTAGAAGCAGGCTTCCCACTGAGCAGGGAGCCCCATGCGGGGCTCGATCCCAGAACCTTGGGATTGTGACCTGAGCTGAAGACGGAGGCTTTAACCCACTGAGCCAACCCAGGCGCCCCATCTTTCCATTTATTTATGTAATCTTCAGTTTCTTTCTTTAGTGTCTTATAATTTTCAGAGTATACCTTTTTCACCTCCTTGCTTAAATTTATTCCTAAGCATTTTATTCTTTTTGATGCAGTTGTAGTTGGGAGTGTTTTCTTTTCTCTTTTTCTTTTTTTTTTTTTAAAGAGAGAGCCAGTGGGGGCGGGGGAGGTGGGTAAAGGGAGAGAGAGAATCTTAAGCAGAAGATCTCATGAACCTGAGATCGTGACCTGAGCTGAAATCAAGAGTCAGACACTTAACCAGTTGAGGCAACTTGGTGTTCCTGGGATGTTTTCTTAATTTCTCTCTCTTTTTTTTTTTTTTTTTATTTGACAGATCACAGTAGGCAGAGAGGCAGGCAGAGAGAGAGAGAGAGAGAGAGAGAGAGAGGAGGAGGCAGGCTCCCTGCTGAGCAGAGAGCCCGATGTGGGACTCAATCCCAGGACCCTGGGATCATGACCTGAACCGAAGGCAGAGGCTTTAACCACTGAGCCACCCAGGCGCCCCTCTTAATTTCTCTTTTTGATAGGTCGCTATTAGTATATAGAAATGCAACAGATTCATGTATATTGATTTTGTAGCCTGTAGCTTTTACTGAGTTCATTTATTAGTTGTAACAGTTTTTGGTGGAGTGTTTAGGGTTTTCTATATAGAGTATTAGGTCATCTGCAAGTAGTGACAGTTTTACTTCTTTCCAGTTGGGAGCCCGCCCTTCCTTCCTTCCTTCCTTCCTTTCTTTCTTTCTTTCTTTCTTTCTTTCTTTCTTTTTTGACTGTTGTGGCAGAGACTTCAGTATTGTGTTGAATTAAAGTGATGAGGATAGATACTTTTTCTTTCTCATTTTAGAGGAAAAGCTTATAGCTTTTCATCATTGAGTATGATACTAACTGTGGGTTTTTCATATATTGCCTTTCTTATGTTGAGGTATGTTACCCACTTTGTTGACAGTTGTTACCATGAATTGATGATGAATTTTGTCAAATGCTTTTTTTGCATGTGATGTACATTCATCTCATATATATGAGATGAATATGATTTTTATTCATTTTGTTATCCTCAGTTGATTTACAGATATTAAACCATCCTTGCATCCCTAAAATAAATCCTACTTGATCATGGTGAATGATCCTTTTAATGTAATGCTGGATTCAGTTTGCTAACATTTTATTGAGGACTTTTGCATCTATGTTCAACAGGGATATTGGTCCTGAAAGCTTTTATATCAAACAGCAGGGTCATTAGTCCACTGATGGTGGCTTCGAGCCATACTGGCAACATTGTATAAGATCTACCTCCTGTGGACCAGGCATTCTGTTAGGTTCTTACATTCTGCACCCAACAATTTAATGTGGGGTGGGGGTTTCCCACCTCAGCAATTCTTGGCACCAGCTGGGTGTCCTGCCATTCAGCTCAATTCTGGCACTATATATCTGGAGATCGTGTCAAATCTCACAAGGTAAGGACTCAGTCCCACCAGACTGCTCCCCGCCCATGCCCCAGTTCAGATGCCTGTTACAAGCTGGATTGTTACCTGTGCTTCTTACTTACCAGGCTGCTAGGGATGGGAGGTTCTGATAACCCCCTCCTTGGGTTTTACTAATTTGCTAGAGCAGTTCACAAAACTCAGAGAAATCTTTTACTAGATTGTTGGTTTATAATAAAAGGGTATAAATCAGGAACAGCCAGATGGTAGTGATGCATAGGGCAAGGTATGGGGAACGGCACTGAACTTCTTTGCCCGTTCCAAGAATACCATTGTCCCCAGATCTCCATGTTTTCACCAACCCAGAAGCTCTCTGAACACTCCCCTCCTTTGGGGGTTTTATGGAGACTTCATTATATAGGCACGATTGATTAAATCCCTGGCCATTTCATGATTGATTCACCCTTCTGCACCTCTTCCCTCCTTGGGTCTTGGAGGTGGGACTGTAAGTTCTAACCCTGTCAACATAGGGTTGATTCAGCTGGCCACCAGCCCCCATTCTTGGGTACTTTCTGACATTGCCTCATTAACATAACAAAAGATACCTTGATTACTTTCCTTACTTAGGAAATCCCAAGGGGTTTAGGAGCTTTGTGCAGAAACTGGGTGAAGACCAAATACATATTCTCTCCTGTTTATCCTCCAGGGTAGCTGATATTTCTTGTCTATTTGCAGATAAATAGATTGAAATACACAAAGGTTGAGTGACTTACCCAGTGCCACATAAGTTAATGGCAGAGCTAAGATTCAAACTAGCCTGTGCCTGACTCCAGTGCTCTTTCGAGAAAACGATGCTATCCCAAAAGTTGACTACAGTATCCTCTATACAGGAAGTCAGGGCTTCAGGCAATATGCTTTAGGAAGTTTCTATGCGGTATGGCTATTACGGACAAAAATGGTTCTAGTGCTGAAGGTGGATAAGGCTTAGTTTATGAGGAAGGTTCATTCTTAAAAGAAGTTCATTCTTAATCCAAAACAAGGCTTAATGAGACTCCCCATTTTAGGCCAAGCTATTGCAGCCTTGGGATACTTAGGGGACACTTTTGACAAATGCCTACCCCAGTTTGCAGCACAGGAAAGCTGCTCTCCCTCTTGTCACCCTCCTGTCCTGCCCTGTCTCTGCTCGATTTTAAGCTCAGAGGAAAACAACTGTGTCCCATTTCCCTCTTTCTTTCCTCTCTCTTCCTCAGGTGAGGCGAAAGGCCTTGCAAGAAGAGATCGATCGTGAGTCAGGCAAAACAGAAGCTTCTGAACCGAGGAAGTGGACAGTAAGTTTGATGTTCAGGCTCTGGTCGGTTGCATACCCCGGCATCCTGACAACTCCTTCCTCACCATGCACCGTGAAGAGCAGAGTGATGGGATACCATGTTAGTCCAGGCCCCAGAGGCTGTCCCAGTCTGCCTGCCTGCTCTCTTCACTGCAGAACTTGTCCTAAGCTAACTTCCTTCCTTCTGAAAGGGGTGCTCGCCTCCCTCCTGGAGTGCTGGCGAAGCAAGATAAGCAGCCTGAACCTTTGTCTCCGGCTGTGAACAGGTGGGGTGTCCCACACATTAGTCACTGAGGGCACGTGAAAAGCACTTTCCAGCAGTGGATGGTGACCTCAAAAGGCTGCTTGGACCAGAGCAGGAGGCAGAGGTGAGAGCAGTGTGGTAGCAGGCCTCTCTCAGGACTGCCTACAAGGTCCATTTGGAGTGGGAGATTTCCAAACCAGGCCTGAGGAGATGGGACAGGAGAGAGTGCACCACAAGGACCAGGAAGTCAGGCTGAAGAGTGATGAGAGGGGATGTGGGCAGGGTGTGTGCCATACCAGGCCAGCCTCAGTGGCCATGGTAGGGAGTGCGCACTGGGCTCCAAGTGCTGTGGGAGCTGCTGGAGGGCCTTTATGTAGGGTAAGTGGGGAGTGGGTTGGAAGGCTCAGCCTCCAGGCCTGAGGATTGGGATGGTGGCAGAGGGTAGAGAAAGAGAAGAAACCAGCTTCATAATCCAACAAGACTTGTTAATAGATTGGATTTGGGGGAGAAGGAAAGAAGGATCCATATGACAGGGAAGCCTTGCCTTCCTTAACTATCCTAAGCCTTCATAGTTTAACATAGGAAAGAACAATTGATTTGGATCAAAAGACCTGAGTTCAGTTTCTGGCTCTGCCACTTTCTAGTTGTGGATTCGAGGCAAGCAGTGTCCTCTCTCTGAGCCTCAGTTTCCACACCCTGTAAATGAGACTCCTACTCTGGCCCAGTGGGGTATGAAGAGGGGCTTTGTTATGTTCCTTCCTTCTGGGTATTCTCTCCTTCCTCCCCAGCCTCATGAGATGAGCAGAGCTGATAGAAACCCTCATTGAGTTGAGGAAGACAAGAAACAGGGCAGCGTCATTCAGAACCTGTAGCCTCAGAGGCTGTACCTAGAAGGACCTGAGGTGGAGAAGAAGGATCCTAGAGCATAGGGGTGACATCTGCTGGGGACGCTTTAGGTGGCATTGCCTCCCAGGACCTAGGTCACTTGACTGCTGAGGCGTGTGGTGAGGACTCCGGACTGGCTGTGGACCCCTGCAGGAGGGTCCACTTTGAATGGGTCAGCAGCCCTTGAAGAGCTAGCTCACCCGTGACTGGTCAGCCTGTGCTCAGACCCAGGGCAGGACTGTCAGAGCTGGTTTCTCATCCTAGAAATCGTAGGACCGGGAAGCTGTAATTATGCCTACATCTGGGCCACTGTGAATCTGGAAGAATTTGTCACCGCTTCACTCAGGGCAGGTGTAGCAGTGACTGGTTCTTACTGTTCTCCCGAATCTGACCTAGAAATAAGTGCTAAGCTGGGATTTGGCTTGCAAGTGGAAAGTTCCCGGGCAGTATGGAGGTCAGCAGTTGGGGTGGGTTGGGAAGAATGACAAATTATCAAGGATTTAAAGTTGCCAAACATTGTGCTCTGGGTTGTTGGTATAAAATCTGATTCAGTCCTTAGCTGAAGCCCTGTGAGAGGGTTATTACACTCCCTATTTTATAGATGAGGACATTGAATCTCAGAGAGTTTACGTAATTTGACCAGGGTCACGCAGGTGGGCTTGATCCTTGGGTCTGTGTGACTTCTAAGTCATTGTTTTCTTGAGCCGTGTTTCTTGTCTCACAGATACGGGAAGGACAGGGGTCTTTTCTTATGCAGCTCCTCTGAGGTCCTGCCTTGCATTTTCTTGAACATGGGTGATTCGTGGATAGGTGGTGGAGTACTCTGTACAGGAATTGGGACCCCCGAGTTCCTGGAGTTCCTGGGCTGGCTCAGCCGTGGACTCAGCTGTGTGACCCTTGACCTCTCTGGGCCTCCACTCCCTGCTGTAAAATGCAGTGCTTGTCTGAAGAGATGTGCATTTGAGATTCCTACTTGGCGGCTGCCTCCTTCCAACTGTCAGAAATGTTAGGCTGAGGGAAGAGCGGGCGGCCAGCTGGTGAGGTGAGGTGAGGTGAGCTGGGCTGGGAGGTGTGTAGAGGTGTGTCAGGAGGTGAGATTGTTGGAGGTGAGCGGAGGTGTGCCGTACGTGAGGGGAGGAGTAAAGCAGACAGGCAGCTCCATGGTGGGCCATGGTGTAGACCAGACTTGAGATGGAATTCCAGCAGGGCCATTAATGAGGCTTGTGCCCCCAGTTAGGCTGTAGACCTCCACTTCCTTATCAGTAAAAAGGGATGCTGACAGTATTCCTCATAGGGCTCTTGCTAGAAGTCAGAGGACAATCCATTGATGTGTTGATGAGCACTGTGCCTGGCACATAGCATTTAATCAGCTGGACCCTCCCTGGTGAGGCTGGGGTTGGGGAAAGGGCAGGGCTTTGGAAGCCAGGAAAATAACCACCTTTTTTTCTCTTAACACAGGGAACTCAGTTTGGCCAGTGGGATACTGCTAGTTTTGAAAATGAGGAACAGAAACTAAAATTTCTCAAACTGATGGGTGGCTTTAAAAACGGGACCCCTTCGCTCAGCCGCCCCTCTAACACAGTCGGAAGGCCCAACATGGCTCTCAGCAAGAAGGCAGCTGACGCCCTGCAGCGGAACCTGCAGCAGGACTACGACCGGGCCATGAGCTGGAAGCACAAGCGGGGCACTGGCCTGGGCTTCTCCACCACCCCAGACAAAATCTTTTATATTGACAGGAATGCTTCCAAGTCAATCAAGTTTGAAGATTAAACTCTACTGTCTTATCCTTCAAAACAGCCCAGATTGCTTTTACTGTTCAGTTATGCAGTTGAAAGCCATCTGACAACTGTCTCAGATCAAATCTCTGCAGAGATTAAGTTGAAAACTCTGCCCATGTGCTTGGACAAACTGGGGTCAGGGAGCTCATGTTTCAGAAGCCAAGAGAACATGTGAGTGATTAACGCCTACTATTTTGTGTATTAAGCATTCCATCCCTGTGTGAAGACATCAGCATATATAAATAATAGCTAATTTGCTGAGTGTTTAGTATGTGCCAGGTACGTACTACTGTGTTTCCCTCACATTAATGTAGTTAGTAATTATGAACTAGGTGCTATTATCCCCATCTTACCGATGAGGAAACTGAGGTTCAGGGATGAAGTAATAAAATTGCCCTGGTTCACCCAACCAGTAAGTGCCAAGTGCTGGACTTCTGTATCCCACGTCCTGTATCACTATTCACTACTCCTAATGTCCTCTTCTAGGGAATTTTACCAGGAATACTTATGGGGGATGAAGTCTCTTGATTGAAGAGACAGAGGTTTTGTTAGATGTCTAAATCTCAAATAGGAAGTAGAATTGATGGTCAACAGGTAAGGGCAAGCTCTTTTTCTTTTCCCATCCTGGAGAACCTTTAGGCAAAGAGGTCTGAATGGCCACCAAGCAGATGTGGCTGAGCTTTCTCTCCATTTGGGAAATGTGTTTCTAAACCAATTTTGCCTTTTCTGGCTCTCCTGACTTCTATCCTCAGTGTTGAGCTTGGATTTAACCTTCATGCTTTAACTGAATTCTAACCAAGGCATTTTAGAGAGACTGTTAGTCTTAATTAACCAACGGTAAATTCCCAGGGATACGTTTATTAGAATCTTTGTGACCACAAGGAAGAGAGTCCTAGGTGACTTGTGTGGTGGAGTTCTAATGCCAGGAGGCCTGAATGTGCGGGCATGACACAGGAAGTTGCCTCATCATGACATTGTTACCATATCTGGACTCTACAACCAGCTTCACAGAGCTCCAGGTACAATGACCTGAGTGACAAATGACCACCTTCTTCATTCACCTAGCAGTTTGCTTCTGAAAATACAGGTTTTGAGTGGGACGTTTTCACATCACTTGGCCTGAGTGCCTCCTATAGACATCCCAGCTCAGGCAGGCCTAACTAAACAGGATATTCAGTCTGTCCCTGGGCAGGAAATCCTGATGTGTAGGGGATTGATTGAGCAACTCAACAAAGAAACATTCTTTTCCTTTCTGCTCCATCCACCCTATTGGCTTCATCAGGCTGCTTGAAAGAATGGCCATAGCAATGGTAGGCACAATATCAAGATGTTAGAACTTGCCAGAGGAAGAAGAAAAACCTTATGGTTCAAGGAAAGTTCCAGAAGACCTTTCATCATAACTCATTGCTTAGCCGTGGGTCATATGCCCATGTCTGAGCCAGCCCCTGGCATGTGGAGGAAGATTCTCCTCAGGCCAGTCATAAAGGAAGTGAGGAGCTGACGCTGGTGGTGGGACAAACATGGAGTCCACTACTGTCCCACTGGGCAGAGGTGAGGCAGGCCTGCCCGGGCGCAAGTAAGCATTGGCCAGGTCAGGAGTCCTGCAGATCTATGCTAGCGATGTTTCAGGAGGGGCCACTTCACTCGGAATGTGAACCGGGCCTTTGATGGACTCAACCTTGAGTTGAGATACATAATGAAAGAGGCCATCTAAATGACGGGAAGGTGAGGTTCTGCCTTTGATTTAGCTCCTTCAGAGCACCTCCTCTTTTCACAGGGGGATAAATCTCCCCTGGCCTTGATCAACAGTACAGGAATTCACTCACTGTACTGACTGCTTCTCTAATTGTTTTTAACTTGCCAAGAGCTCACACTGTAGCTTGGGCCTGCCTTGGCTTGTCAGGATTGTGCTCTGCCATCTCTTGGGTGATTCTGGAGAGTAGCTGATCATTTGTCCACTGTCTTGTCCCCATAGTGATAGTTCTCACTAGCGTGTGAGGGTCAGGCCTTTCCCCTCCTGTCATTTAGTATATGTAGTCTGTGTAACGGGATTTGAGTTTTAAACCTTATGTGTCATCATTGGCCGAAGAGTTTCACTGGCCCAGGGGAAGGTTTATGATCGTTTGTTTCTGAAGCAGGGTCTAGCCAGTGCAGGTGGAACAGCTAAGACAGCAGGATCTCCAGTGACTTCAGAATGGACTTAGTCTTGGTCTGCATTGACAAGACTGGCAGAGAAGCCATTTCTCAGAGAGCAGGTCTCTGTCCTGTAGCAGTCCCGCAGTCCCGGGAGGACTTTCACTCTGAGTTTCCTGTGTTAGCTGGGCCCTCTCCTTTGTACGTTAAACAACATTGGCTTGTGCCACCTCTGTCCCTTTTTCCCATATCCAGTGCCATCAATCTGCAAGGTGTGTGTGTGTGTGTGTGTGTGTGTGTGTGTGTGTGTGTGTGATCTCCTATGTTGTTGATGTCTTGACTCTGTGGAACATACCATGTCTCCACTGCAAAAGGAGGTTTGGGGATTTTTACTCAGAATTGGGGCAGGAGAAGTCTTGGCATATAGCCCAGTCAGGGTCTTGGTTGAATATTTAACAGCCCTTTTCTCATTTCTCCCTTGGCGATTTCTCACTTGACCAACCCTCCTTCTCTATGGCAGGGTCCTTCCCTCCTTAGAGTTGTCCTTATCCAGCTATCACTGAAACCTCATGATTTCCTAATTGCTTCTCTGCAGTGATTGCTGCTGTTTCTGCCTTATTAGCCCACTAGGCCCTGCCCCGAGGCTTGCTTTCCATATCTAGACTGGCCCATCAAAAGTGTTTGCTAGATAGACAAAGTTCTCCTCTAAAAGAAATTGTGTATTCAGCTCTACAAACGGAATTATTCAGGTTTGTGCACCCCCACCCCAGATGTCCCTGTCCCAGTCATGAGAACTTAGGAGTATTAGGACACAAAACAAAAAGGAGTTGAGGGTAGCGGATGGAATTACAGTTGCCAGTCAGGTAACCTTAAAATAAGATTATCCTGGATTGTCTGATTGGGCCCAGTTTAATCATAACAGGTCCTTAACTATAGAAGAGGGAGGCAGAAATGTGGAAGAGACTTGTAAGAACAACTCAACAAGTGGTGCCTGGGTGGCTCAGTGGGTTTAGCCTCTTACTTTGGCTCAGATCATGATCTCAGGGTCCTGGGATTGAGTCCCGTGTCAGGCTCTCGGTAGGGAGCCTGCTTCCTCCTCCCTCTCTCTCTCTCACTCTCGCTCTCTGCCTGCCTCTCTGCCTACTTGTGATCTCTCTGTGTCAAATAAATAAATAAAATATTAAAAAAAAACAAGCTGTTGCTGGTTTTAAGATAGAGGAAGGGGCCACATGCCCTCTAGAAGCTAGAAAAGTCAAGAAAACATTCTTCCGCAGAGCCTCCAGAAGGAACAAAGCCCTGCCCACACCTTCGCTTTGAGGGAAAGTCCCCTAAGACCTGTTGGAGTCAGAACAAATAGATCTGCAAGGTGAAAGAATTGTATTGTTGTAAGCCACTAAGTTTGTGGTAATTTGTTAAAGCAGCAATAGAAAAGTTGTATAGGTCTCACGCAGAACTTTTCATTTTTTTTTACCTTATTTCCTAAAATTCTTTGAATTTTTATTGTTCTGTTGTCCTTTGTAATAACAGTAGACTTCATCCCCTGTAGGCTGTGATTTTCAGAGACTGGCTAATTGATTCAATAATGGGCTGAGGAAAACCACGAAAGATCATAGAAAATCTGAGCCTTTGCCTGGGCCTGGGCCTGGGCCTGGGCCTGGTGACAGATGGTTCTGAAGCGCCTTTGGAGTAATGAATATTCAACCTAATACGAAAGTCCAAATTCATGTCAATTTAAGAACATTACGTTACTCAGGCTTGGGAATGAACACTGTCCGGTAAGAACAACCTCAGAGTAGAAAAAAGGACTTAAAGCAGATTATTTGTGAATTTGCCAATTGTGTTTCATTTAAACGGTATCGTATAGTTAACAGTGATATATGAAATAATTTTAACGGAAACAGTTTTGTGAAATAAAAGTCATTTGGTAATATTTGAGCAAAACCACCATGTTTTCTGAATTTCTGTATGTTTTGTCCAGTAAAGGGGAGCAAAAGGGTTATTCTTCAGTATCCACTGTTCTTTAATGTTGGCTCTTTTCTCAGGCTGGGGCCCAGGGGGTGGGGTAATTCACAGTTCAGATGGCCAAGAAATCCGTAGCATATTCTTTGGTCCTAAACTGTTCAGTAAAAATAGGAGTTTAATATAAATTTATTTTTTAAATTATTTTAGCCACTTTTACAGAGATTGTGTGAACTATGATCCTATATTTCACAGGGTAGAGAGGATATGTAATTTATGTCCATTTTATACCTTTCAAATCCACAACTTGGATTAAATGGGTGCATTTTCCTGAGCGCAGGCTTCCAGGCTGTGAATCACCACCAATCAATATTAATGCTTTTACTGATTGAAAATAAAATGTCAGTGGAAGCTCATCAGCAGTAATACAAGAATCAGATTCCAGATTCCAAAAATCTGGTGGTAGAAAAAAAAAAATAGAATCACTTGCAGTTTAGAATTATGGCTGCAGAGCGAACAGAACAGTTTAGACAAGTTCTCTTCTGGATGAAGAGAGAAGTAATTAAACGAACAGTCATGAACATAAACATTCCTTTGGGAGGTTTATTCAGTTGTAGAATACTTTCCACTGAAGCCAACAGAGGGAATTGCAGATTTGACCTCACTTTCTCTAATCCCACAATTGTGTTTTTTAAAATTTATTTTTAATAGTATTTGGCATACACATTATTAGTTTTATGTGTACAACATAGTCATTTGATGTTTTATATGCATTAAAAAATGCCTACCACAGAAAGTATAATTACCATCTTTCACTGTACAGTTATTAAAATATTACTGATTGTATTTCCTCTGCTTACTTATATCCCTGTGATTTACTTACTTTATAACTGGAAGTTTGTATCTCTTAATCCCCTTTGCCTATTTCCCTCTTCTTCCCACCTCCCTGCCCTCTGGCAACCACCAGTATCTTCTCTGATTTTTGAGTCTGTTTCTGTTTTTGTTTGTTCATTTGTTTCTTTACAATCAAATTATATGAAATTAAATGGTATTTGTCTTTTTCCAACTTATTTCACTTACCATAAGCTTGTAGTGTATCCATGTAGTTGGAAAAGGCAAGATTTTTTCTTTTTTATGGCTGAGTAATATTCCTGTG